TAATCTATTCATTTAGGATAAGAACGTGGCCTTATAGGATTTATTAGCCTAATCCTGCTTTAATTAAATTGCATCCAAAGCCATGGCTCACTCACATGCACCCTTTCAGATAAGTGTGGCACACGTGTCAGGATGGGATAGGTTGACTGTCCTGCCTTTTATAGTCCGGTCAAAAATGGAGGAAATTTCCTCTTTATTGGATTGGGGTGAGAGGGAGGGTGCTGTCTCAATTATGGTCTCCTAATTAGACAACAATGGCTCATTAATTAGGGTTTAAATAATGGTTTTAGAGATCGTAATTAATTGAGTTATTTGGAGCTTTATGTTGATACTAATTCCAATGTTAGATCCAAATTAGGGGTTTATTATTATAATCATTGAGGGCATGGGGTTTGATCCCATTTTATTTGGATTATATATGCTTGTGGTATATAGTCGGTCGGGTTGGTTATAAGATATAAATAAAATATTCTTACTAGAGTAAATTGTTAAAATAGTTCCCCTTTATTCAGTCACAATGAAGAACTATTAGAGCTCAATTTTAAAATAGTCGTTTAAGAACAGAGATATCTCATTTAAAAAAAAGTTAGTTATAGAGGTATTTTTTATGGATTTGAAAATTTTCAGTGCTATAAATGTAAAAAAATCAAAGATGGGATGTTAGATGCGTAAATACATAAAAGTTGTGTGATAGGGATGTAAATGTCTCAAAAAACTTTTTAATGAACACATGCATGCTCGACTATGGATTACCACCAAAGCCAGCTGATAATGGAGAAAGAAAACACGTGCAATGAGGCATTAATTATTTATATATGCATATATAATTCTTGTCACGGCTTTAGTTATATTATCTTATGTAAATTTGATCCAAATGAATTTTAAAATCATTTGACGCACTAAAATTATTATATATTTACATATTAAACCCCTGAAATTCACATTTTTGTTACATTTATACCATTCAACATGAAGAATATGACTATTTTAGCTTTTAAAAAAATGAAATATAAGTTTTTTTATGAATAAGCAAGGGGCATGTATGCAAAAATTGAAGTTTAGGTGTTAGATATGCAAATGCATAGGAATTGAGTGGCATGCATGTAAATGTTCCTAAAACATATGATATTTTAATAAAGATTTAATAATAAAAAAACAGTCATTGTGAAATTTAATTCATGATATAGAGGACCAAAATATTCCGGAGGATTCCTAGTTTGGACTTTGGAGACCACATAAAAAATATTCATTTATTTATATAATATGATAAGATTCTTCAGAATACACGTTGATATATAAAATAATAGCAAAATAAAAAATAAAAATAAATAAATAAATGCAAAAGCTTGATATAATGAATATTATCCGAAAGCTTTATGTGCTGTAATGGCGAAATTGAAGCATTTAAATCTCTTAAATCATTTGCTTCCACTTGTTGGCTGTTGGCAAAGCCCGCTCGTGGCCTCCTTGGAAATCTTAGATCTGGGCAAGTCTGCAAATAAGATTTTAGATCTGTTTGCAAATATGTTTTTGAAATATTTACATATAGACCACTATGTATTTAGGGCAGTCAAAACGGCTCGTTGTTTTCGGCTCGTTAAGAAGCTCGTGTTGGCTCGTTTGCTAAGTTAACGAGCCGAATAAGGACAAAGATTTGTTCGTCCGTGTTTGGCTCGTTTTGGCTCGAAATACTACTTA